GTGCAAGGAAGCTGCAGCAGGGGTATTAAATGCAAGTGAGGCCTTTGTCCCTCTGTCCCTGGTCGCTTGCTGAAAGCTGTGAAGGGTTTTCACCAATGGTTGTGACCAAGTGGTCTGAGCTGCATTGCTCTTGTTTTTAAAACTCCATTGTGCTTAAAGTTTAAAACCAGCCCTGAGGAAGGGGCTTTCAGCTGATTGACACTTGGGAATTTATTTTACCCTCCCTAGCCGGTGTCTTGATAAGCCTTGTTCACACAACCCTAAAGCAGCTTTATACCTCTAGTGAACCGCCTCCAGGCCCCAGAGTCCTGTGCTCCTTCTCTCTGGGTCTCAGTTTACATATCTGTAAAGTGGAGATAACATACTGCACAGTACATACCTCAGTTCAAATTAATTGGGAAACAATTTTGTGTAAACTAGGAGGGCTCTGGAGAATTGCTAGCAGAATCCTTTGACAGGCAAACCTTGTATGCTCCTTGTATGCTCTTGGAAACAGAGACTGAAAAGTTGCACATATACTGATTTATCAGCAGGGAACCTGGTTTTCTCTGATTTAAAAAAATCCCCAATTTTCAGTTAAAAAAAAAGTAATCCCAAATCCACATTTTTCCAGGGTTAAAATGAAATATATATATATATATATATATATATATATATATATATATATGGTGTTTAATTTAAATTGCAAAAAAATGTGGATTTGGGGTTAATATTTTTAACAGAAAATTGGGGATTTTTTTAAATCAGAGAAAACCAGGATTCCTGTTTATCAGTTTGCTTGGTGTAATAAATTTGCCTGCCTCCTGCTTGTTTATGAGCCACGTGAAAGGACTAAAATAACTGAAATGGGGAGGAGGTTAGAATAGCCAAACATTAAATCTAGAGAGGAAATTTAGTTCTCCAGAGTCTAACGTTCTGCTTCTGAGGTCTGGCGTCTGTCTAATGGAAAAGCATTACACCCAACACACACAATCGACTCTAAGCAGGCACATCATGCATTATTTCATAATAACAATGCAGGAAAGAGAAGCCATGCTGAGATGCATCATTGGCATAGCATCCATTTCTACGAACACAGCATGTTAGAAATGGAGGTAACTAGAAGCATATGGCCAGGAAGCTGAATCAGGCCAGAATCTGTCTCCTCCTCAACCCTTGGTTATCTATTGACACAGTTGCATAACTAAGAAGGGAGCAACCAGGACAGTAGCCCCAGGCACCAACTTTGTGTGTGATTTGGGAGGGCACAAAAATAGTTGCTGTCACAGCAAGGCATAAAGGTCTACATCTACTGAAAACATTTCTACTGCACCCCTTATAACAGCATCTGCGCACCGAACAAGAAAAAAAAGGCAATACCACAAATCATTCCTGGCACCTACAAGGGGTTTAGGTTGTAGCCGTGTTGGTCTAAGGATATAGGCAGACAAGGTTCCTTGGGTGAATTTGATATCTTTTATTAGACCAACCCAAATGGCTGGAGAATAGTTATTAAGCAAGCTTTCGGGTTCAAAAACCCTTCGTCAGGCTCAGGAAGCTGCAGCAGTTGGTGTGTGCTCTTCCTGGAAGACCAACTGCTGCAGCTTCCTGAGCCTGGCACCTACAATGCATTTTTGGCCAACAGCATCCACAAAAGAACCAGTTAATCCTCTAAGCCACCCTCTTCAGGTAGGCAAAGGGAGGGGCAAGTTATACCCATTTTACAGATGAGGAGTCCGAGGACCGTCCAGACTATCAAGTTTCATTGACAACTCTCTGTAGGTGAACAGTGTAGGAGAAAAAAAAATCTCGCTTCTGATATAGCTGTGTTGGCAACAACCAGAACATAGATGCAGCTGCCCAAGCACAAATGCCATTTTACCAGTAGAATGTATTCTATCTGGATAACTGAAATGAGCTATAGCTGCATCTCCACTAGCAGGATTTGCTAGTATACTAGACTTGAAAGACCTATACTGGCAACCCCTTTATTTGTAGACAGGCCCAGACACAAAGAGGTCAAAGCACTGACGGAAAGCAAGTCAGTGACAGACCCAAGACTACAATGCATGCCTCCAGGCTCCCAGATCAACCACCTGATCACACTGTTTCTCAAAGTATATCATCATCTTGTTTTCCTTTGTTAAAGGAAATTTATCAAGGATAGGGGAGTAATGAAATACAGCATCTGCCGCCTGCTCATGTCAAATAGCACCCATAACTCTCCCTCACTGCTTTCCCCTGCAGTGGTTTTGAACCTTTTTAGACTCCAGGGAGCTCTTCTTCGGATCAAGGCACCCCTAAATAGGCTTGAGACACCCCTCAGAGAGTGCCAGTTCTTAGTTTTCACAGTTTTTTGTCTACAGAAAAGTAACAGAGCACTTATTTTGTTTCAAAAAAAATCAGAAAGACCACAACAGGTCAGAAGGTTTCTAACACTATGGATTCGTATTTGAAATCTCTGGGTTTATCTTGTGAACCACATTTGTACACCTAACAACACAGGCTGGGGCACCCTGGGTGACCAACTCTGTTCTCTTGTGGCTTCTCTATTGCCCCCTGCTGTCCCTGTCAAGCACTGCAAATGCTATCTACTGACCTCAATGAACAATATAAAGTTTTAAGGCAGGCACATTTTTGGTCGTGCTTACATTTCCTAAAGTTTTACTTACAGTATGAAAGTTACAAAATACAAGCTGTAAACCACGCACTTTTTATACAAAATGTACAACAGGCCAAAGCCTAACTGCAAACTATGCCAAATGGCTCTAGAAGGTAAACTGTGAGCAAGTATATTGTATTTTAACTGAGAAAAACCCTGCAAACAGCCCCCCC